CAAATGCTTTTTTTTATTGTATATATGAATGTATTTAGGTTAGGGCCTATTGTAGTTAATTTTTGGCTGGGAGATGGTGACCTGTGAATGATGAGCCTACCGGGCCTGCCCCTTAAATTGTAGGTGAACGGCACGCCCAGTCAAATGCTCTTTTTTTTTATAGTATGTATGAATGTATTTAGGTTAGGGCGTATTGTAGTTAATTTTGGCTGGGAGATGGTGACCTGTGAATGATGAGCCTACCGGGCCTGCCCCTTAAATTGTAGGTGAACGGCAAACCCAGTTAGGTGCTCTTTTTTTATTGTATGTATGTAGTTTAGGGCTTCTTTTAGTTAATTTTTGGCTGGGAGATGGTGACCTGTGAATGATGAGCCTACCGGGCCTGCCCCTTAAATTGTAATAGAACGGCACACCCAGTCAAATGCTCTTTTTTATTGTATGTATGTACTGTAGACTAGGGCTTATTGTAGTTAATTTTGGCTGGGAGATGGTGACCTGTGAATGATGAGCCTACCGGGTCCCGCCCCTTAAACTGTAGGTGAACGGCATGTTTAGTCAGATGCTCTTTTTTTATTGTATGTACAGTGTATGTAGGTTAGGGCTTATTGATGTTAATTCCTAGTTGGGAGATTGTGGCTTGTGAATGAAGAGCCAACCAGGCCCAGACAACCTTTTCATTTCTTAATTTTTAAATGTTTGTACCTGTATGTAGATTAGGGCTTATTTTAGTTAATTTTTGGCTAGGAGATGCTCTTTTTTATTATATGTATGTAGGTTGGGGCTTATTGTAGTTAATTTTTGGCTGGGAGATGGTGACCTGTGAATGATGAGCCTAACTGGCCTGCCCCTTAAATTGTAGGTGAACGGCACGCCCAGTCAAATGCTCTTTTTTATTGTATGTATGAATGTATTTAGGTTAGGGCCTATTGTAGTTAATTTTTGGCTGGGAGATGGTGACCTGTAAATGATGAGCCTACCGGGCCGTGCCCCTTAAACCGTAGGTGAACGGCATGCCCAGCCAGATGCTCTTTTTTTATTGTATGTACATGTATGTAGGTTAGGACTTATTGTAGTTATTGTAGTTATTGTAGTTATTGTATTGTGACTGCAAGAATCCAAAGTGCTTGGAAAAAGTTTCGTGAACTCTTTCCTTTCCTCACCTCAAGGGCGACCCCGTTAAGAGTGAAAGGGAAGGTGTATGATGCCTGTGTTAGAAAATGCATGACGTATGGGAGCGAAACATGGGCAATGAAATCATCCAGTGAACAGCGAATGGAGAAAGCTGAGATGAGGATGGTGAGGTGGATGCGCAGGGTATCACTTCATGAGAGAAAGAAGAACAAAGTCCTCCTTCAATCAATGGGATTGATGGGGGTGGCACAGGTTATGAGGATGAATAGACTTAGATGGTTTGGACATGTGGCAAGAAGAAAGGCAACACACTGGCTCCAGAGGGCTCTAAACTTCCCGGTCACTGAAAGAAGACCTCATGGGAGACCCAGGAACACTTGGAGGGAAGCCATCGAAGAGGATGCCAAAACATCGGGTGTCGGTCGTGTGGATCCCACAGACAGGAAAGCTTGGCAGGCGGCCATTAAAGAAATGAAATGTCCAACCACACAAAGTGGGACAAATGGACTCTAAACGACGATGATGATGATGATGTAGTTGAGTTTTGGTTGGGAGATGGTGACCTGTGAATGATGAGCCTACCAGGCTGTGCCCCTTAAACGGCAGTGGAACGGCACGCCCAGTCAAATGCTCTTTTTTATTGTATGTATGAATGTATTTAGGTTAGGGCCTATTGTAGTTAATTTTGGCTGGGAGATGGTGACCTGTGAATGATGAGCCTACCGGGCCTGCCCCTTAAATTGTAGGTGAACGGCACGCCCAGTCAAATGCTCTTTTTTTTTATAGTATGTATGAATGTATTTAGGTTAGGGCCTATTGTAGTTAATTTTGGCTGGGAGATGGTGACCTGTGAATGATGAGCCTACCGGGCCTGCCCCTTAAATTGTAGGTGAACGGCACACCCAGTTAGATGCTCTTTTTTTATTGTATGTATGTAGGTTGGGGCTTATTGTAGTTAATTTTTGGCTGGGAGATGGTGACCTGTGAATGATGAGCCTACCGGGCCTGCCCCTTAAATTGTAGGTGAACGGCACGCCCAGTCAAATGCTCTTTTTTTATTGTATGTATGTAGTTTAGGGCTTATTTTAGTTAATTTTTGGCTGGGAGATGGTGACCTGTGAATGATGAGCCTACCGGGCCTGCCCCTTAAATTGTAGGTGAACGGCACACCCGGTTAGATGCTCTTTTTTTATTGTATGTATGTAGTTTAGGGCTTATTTTAGTTAATTTTTGGCTGGGAGATGGTGACCTGTGAATGATGAGCCTACTGGGCCTGCCCCTTAAATTGTAGGTGAACGGCACGCCCACTCAAATGCTCTTTTTTTATTGTAGGTATGTAGTTTAGGGCTTATTTTAGTTAATTTTTGGCTGGGAGATGGTGACCTGTGAATGATGAGCCTACTGGGCCTGCCCCTTAAATTGTAATAGAACGGCACACCCAGTTAGATGCTCTTTTTTTATTGTATGTATGTAGGTTAGGGCTTATTTTAGTTTATTTTTGGCTGGGAGATGGTGACCTGTGAATGATAAGCCTACCGGGTCCTGCCCCTTAAACCGTAGGTGAACGACACGCCCAGTCAAATGCTCTTTTTTATTGTATGTATGTACTGTAGACTAGGGCTTATTGTAGTTTATTTTGGCTGGGAGATGGTGACCTGTGAATGATGAGCCTACCGGGTCCCTCCCCTTAAACTGTAGGTGAACGGCATGTTTAGTCAGATGCTCTTTTTTATTGTATGTACAGTGTATATAGGTTAGCTAGGCTTATTAATGTTAATTCCTAGTTGGGAGATTGTGGCTTGTGAATGAAGAGCCAACCAGGCCCAGACAACCGTTTTATTTCTTAATATTTAAATGTTTGTACCTGTATGTAGATTAGGGCTTATTTTAGTTAATTTTTGGCTAGGAGATGCTCTTTTTTATTATATGTATTTAGGTTAGGGCCTATTGTAGTTAATTTTGGCTGGGAGATGGTGACCTGTGAATGATGAGCCTACCGGGCCTGCCCCTTAAATTGCAGGTGAACGGCATGCCCAGCCAGATGCTCTTTTTATGCCTCCGCCACCGAAGGTGGTGCCGGAGGCATCATGTTTTCGGGTTGTCCGTCCGTAAGTCCGTACGTCCCGTAACGTCCGTCCCGTTTGACCGTTATCACAATATCTCAAGAACCATTTAAGATTTAAACTTAAGACTCTGCAATAGTATTTATCACCATAGGAAGACGATCTGATTAGATTTTGGAGTACGTAGGTCAAAGGTCACAGGTCACAGAGGTCAACTTATGAAATTCCTTGTATTGAGTTTGTTAGCGCGATATCTCAAGAACCATTTGAGATTTAAACTTCAAACTTAGTGATAGTGTGTATCACTATAGGAAAACAATCTGATTACATTTTGGAGCACGTAGGTCAAAGGTCAAGGGTCATAGAGGTCAACTAATGAAATTCCATACATTGGGATTGTTATCATGATATCTCAAGAACCACTGGAGATTTAAACTTCGAACTTAGTGATAGTGTGTATCACTATAGGAAAACAATCTGATTACATTTTGGAGCACGTAGGTCAAAGGTCAAGGGTCATAGAGGTCAACTTATGAAATTCCATACATTGAGATTGTTATGATATCTCAAGAACCACTGGAGATGTAAAAACTTCAAACTTAAGGATAGTATGTATCACCATAGGAAGACGATCTGATTAGATTTTGGAGCACGTAGGTCAAAGGTCAAGGGTCACAGAGGTCAACTTATGAAATTCCATACATTGAGATTGTTATCATAATATCTCAAGAACCACTGGAGATTTAAACTTCAAACTTAATGATAGTGTGTATCACCAAATCTGATTAGATTTTGGAGCACGTAGGTCAAAGGTCAAGGGTCACAGAGGTCAACTTATGAAATTCCATACATTGAGATTGTTATCATGATATCTCAAGAACCACTGGAGATTTAAACTCCAAACTTGTTTAAATTGCTCTATGGCGGAGGCATCATTTTCGACTGCGCGCAGTCAAAATTCCATCTAGTTTTTTTTAGGCCTAAGTCAACTGCTTTCCATTCTGATCATTCCAAAACTTCAAAATACACACATATACATGTACATGTACATGTATGTACCTTTATAAATTACACAATCAGCCTCTTTGCATATATGAGTTGACTGTTTTATTCACAATGTAGTTGCACAACCAGTCCTCAATTTTATCTTTAAATTGGATCTAAATCAAGCACACAAAAAGGAAGAGAGAGAGAGAGAGAGAGCGTGGTGATAGATACATACATGTAAGAGACTCGATTGAAGGAAGACGAGAGTAAACTGAAACATTGGGGCCCATAATCTAAAACTCCCAAGTGACATCTCAATGACTACCGGTACACTCTCTGAATCTTTTTTTTAAAGCATGAAGCACACTTGTCTTCCCCTGCTTCATGAAATGAACAATCCGATCCTGAGCTTGGGGTATATCATGGAGATGACATGAAATGTGGTAGTTACATTAATTCCTTAAAAAAAACTTTGCAATTTTTTTTTCTTTTTTTTCTTTTAGGTTGCATGAACTTCTCTTTTTCCATCAAGAAATGTGACGAGCTGTTGTAAAATCTCTAGATTCGACCTGCTGGAGATTTGATTTTGCATCTCACTCTAGTCTGAGTTATCTTCCCTGGCTTAGCCTTCTATGGGTCAAGACTTTCTTTTGTACAGGTGTATTTTCATATGTGAATGTCTGTTTGTACTCTAATTTTGGGATAGAGAAATTTAAGTGGGCGATCATTTATTGCATAACACTTATGATATTGATCATATTTTCATTTAATAACTATTTGTTTTATGGAAAAACTGCATTTGTTGTCATCCTTCAATAGACATTGAGGCACCCATTGCCATCTGCCCTGAGGACATCACTAGGAACACAGATTTAGGACAGGCCTATGCCACCATATCCTGGAGCAGCCCTCGAGGCACAGACAACTCTGGAACCATATCAAGCATCAACGCAGATCCCCGTGAAGGGCAGTTTGCGATTGGCAGTCATGTGATCACTGTGACGGTGGTTGATCCTGCAGGCCTGGAAGGCCAGTGCACCTTTGATATTGTGGTTCAAGGTACTTATACTGAGTTTACATCATCTGTTTGGAGCCAGATGGGCGTTACTGTCCTAGTTAAAGCCATTCTAGCTCCAGAAAAATGGTATGAAGATAATGAAGAGCCATGTTTGAAACCTGAGGGGGGGGGGGGGGTGTACTGAAAATAATGTAATTATCTTATATTTCAATGAACAGGATACATTCTATGACTGGTGAGATTTATTGGTTTATTTAATACAGTCTGTGTACATAAGATAATGTCCTTCCTTTTTCTAAGTTACTTGCCGAGCATATACATGTATACTGGCAAATGATTTTCTAGTTACTTATCTTTATTCTTATCAGTTACATATTTCCAACAATTTTGCAATCTATTTTTTTTTCCAAGGCTATTCTTTATTTGAAAAACAACAAAAACAAACAAACAAACAAGAATACAATGAAAAAGTTCTGCAAAGGGGATATAAGAAATAATAAGTCATTAAGTGGAGGTGTTTTGTTTTTATATGCAGATAATGAGGCACCAACATTGGAATGTCCTGCCACCATTGAAGTAAGCACGGATGTGGGTAGTCCCTCATCCATCGTCACCTGGACAGTCTTGGGCCAAGATAACTCTGGCTCAGTATCTAGTCTTTCATCATCACCGTCTCCTGGGGAAAGCTTTGCAATCAGTACCACCACTGTCGTAGTCACAGCTCTTGATCAAAGTGGCAACATGGGACAGTGCTCATTCAATGTTATTGTGTTCGGTGAGTTGTCTGGTTATGTTATGTTTCACCTTGTTCTGTTTTATTTTAGTTATGCACCCAAGCCCAAGGGTATGAATTTTCATGTAGGAGTGATCTAAATAGTAATATAGATTTTTTTTTTTTTTTTTTTGCTGCAGTTCACCATTTGGCCACAGGCCCCATGCATACTGAAATATATATTTAGTTTGTACCTTTTTTGTTGGAAAACCTATTATTTAGAAACAAACTTTGAGACTTAATGGCCCAAATTCACAAAGCAAGGTTTGAGCTCAATTAACCTCCTTACATGTATGTTTCGCCAAACCTCCTTTTGTTCTTTACAAACCAGGTTTGTAAAAACGTGTAAAACGCGTCATATGACATACGAAAACCAAGGTTTGTCGACAAACCTCCTTTGTGAACTCGGGCCAAAGACTTTGGTACTAAATGAATATTTATATATATGAAGTGCATGATCCCATCTCACATTTTACACAAACTACTCCCTGATAAAGAATGGTTTTACAGCAGTAATATGTTGGTATTCTTGAAAGCATACATCTCCATGTATTAACCCAGACTGTGTCTACCGATTTACAGAGTACCAAACGCCAACCTCATTATTCTGCAGAAATTACCGTTATTTTACAAGCAAATGATTAAACTGAAATAATGTCATTGCAATATAAATATTTCATGTTCATTTAATGGCTGGATTCATTTTGTGACAGAACTAATGTGATTTGAAAGGGATAAAGAGTTTAACACTTGGCACTCCAGAAGTGAGTTGACTATTAACTGGATGGTTTAACTAAGTCCACCTCTATGAATATAAGCTCATCACTGTTGGGCTATGCTTTTGTCTTTTTAAAAAAAAGATTCTGAACTGCCTGTCATCACGTGCCCTGCCAGCATAATCCAAGCCACTGACCTGGGTAGCTCATCTGCCACTGTCATGTGGCAAGTCACTGCTGCAGATAATTCAGGGGATCCCCCCACCATTACATCATCACATGAACCAGGCATGCTTTCCTTTGGTACTCTCACTGTGGTCGCCATGGCAATAGATTCATCAGAAAACACAGCATCATGCAGCTTTACAGTCCAAATCGTTGGTAAGTACATTTCATTTTTGTCTGTTCTGAAAAAATTCTGTGTTTGATATACAGTGCGTCCCAGAAAAAACGAAATCGAGAAGTATCGATGTTCTATCATAACATAATCAAAACTATAAGTAATGAATGATACATATTTGGAAAGCTTAGAGTCTCCTCTTTCAGTTGATGCTACTCAGATAATGCATATTTCACGCATGAGTGATTAAAAGCAATTTGAAGGAAGGAAACCAAAAAGACATTTGGCGGGCCGTATCTGAATTTCGAAGAAAAATTCACATTTCTAAAAAGTTGAGTTTCTGCCTTTTCATATGACACCTCAATCAGGAAAAATGAGCGAGGAATGACAAAGTTCTGTTTGTTTTTATTGCATTTCCATAAACGAATTCGTTTTCACTGGCTGCCTGTCATATTAATAAACGAAATTAACAAAAGACTTAACTCCGTTTCGTTGACAATCAGCCGTGCATGAAGACTCTTGTCTACGGCTGATTGTCAACGAAACGGAGTTACATGCAAGTCTTTTGTCAAATCTGCTTTTTGCTACGGCAGGCACCCAGTGAAAACGGATTCGTTTGTTAAAATTATGAAAATGTAAGGGCTACTTTAAACAAACAGAACTTTTTTTATTCCTGGCTCATTTTTCTTGATTGAGGTATCATATGAAAGAGCAGAAAATGAACTTTCTGGAAATATGAATTTTTCTTTGAAATTCAGATACCGCCCGCCAAATTACTTTTCGGATTCCTTCCTTCAAATTGCTTTTAATCACTCATGCGTAAAATATGCATCACCTGAGTAGCATCAACTGAAAGAGGAGACTCTAAGCTTTCCAAATATGTATCATTCATTAATTATGGTTGTGTTTAAGTTATGATAAAACATCAATACTTCTCGGTTTCGTTTTTTCTGGGACGCACTGTATAGGAAGAATATTTTGATTGTCAGCTATTGTTAGAGGGATCCGGTAAATTTGTCTCAGATTCTGAAACAAAATCCTGAATTTAGCTCATGCTGCAATGATAATTATAAAACTTTAGGTCAGTAAAGAACTCCGACTTTTACAAGCCGATCGCCTGTCTGATTATCAAGATATTTATGATTGGAAATCGAAACCAAATTTTGTGTTTGCCAAACGGTTTTCATAGCACTACAGTCTTGGGGAAAACGAGTATGGTAAAATTGGTCACTCAAAGATTTTTACTTTTTTGAGGCACTTCTTGATCATTTTGAAGCACGTTTGTTTTAGGGCTTCAATATTACCCCACATAATACAGACACTGGTATCACGTAGGGCCATGCATCTCAGATTTAAAATTGCCTTTAAATCTCATATTTTTTTTAACCAAATGCAGATCCAGCTTTTAAATCCTAGCATGGCTATGTTTTCAGTCAGCATGTTCATTGCTGTACCACTAATTGGCACAAACAATGGGTAGCAACCATCAAGTAGGTATGTTTACTGCAGCTTGGTGTGGGCCATGTGCATGTATTAAGTCTACTGTATAGAGGGACATTGGAGAATCCAGTAGTCGTCAGGTTAATATGCTATGATGAAATTACTGTTCTACCAATTTATGTAGGTAGATATATTCAACAGGCTATTGCCCCTTTCAACAAATAATGTGGCACGGGAATAATCTTTTTGATTGGCACGTAAAATTCAATGTGATTAATTTGAATGCAGACGAAGAAGCACCATTAATCACATGCCCAAACAACATCACAGTTGCAACCGATGTGGGCGCATCTTCAGCAATCATCACATGGGCTGGCCCATTTGCGTCGGACAACACTGGTCAAGCGACTGCCATGACGGACATATCATTAGGCCTCTGGCCAATAGGGATCCAGACGGTCACTGGCACAGCAGTGGACGGGTCTGGCAATGAGGCTCAGTGTACTTTCTGGGTGAATGTTCAAGGTGAGGCCCGACATGGCTTCAATGTTAAAGCTGGTATTATGATCTTTTGCAGATCATCAAAGTACGCCATGAGTATTAAAGGCATAATTGCTTGTAGGCTTTTACATATAATTATAGCTTGCCTGTGAGTACGTTTCAAAATACCTCATACATGAATCTAGCTATTATATTTTCAAGTGCTATGTCTTGTCTGTCTTGTCAGATTTTTAGATATTACAGTAGTTCCTCATACTAGGGTTTGTCCAAGTTGTCCAAGAAAATCAGTCTATATTGTTGTTCTTTAAGCAATAGCACCCATATGACAATGCAATTTTTTGTCAATATCATGGTTTGGGGGAGAATATGCTTTTAAATACACAAAGACTATGTAGACATTGCTATTCTTACACAAGCACAACTGCATGTTTTCATTCTGTAAGGCATATTTTAGCTTGCTGCCTCTTGTGTGAAGAAACCCTATTGAACAATGTGTGTATTTTTTGTCCAGATTTGGAGAATCCAGTGGTTTTGTGCCCAGCAGACATCACAAGTGAACTGGTAGCAGTCCCAGTCACATGGGATGCCACAGCTACTGATAACTCAGAGATGATTGCTAATCTCACCAGCAGTCCCTCTACATCAGATGTCGTCCTTGGGACAAACACAGTGACTGTGATAGCCATGGATCCTTCAGGCAACAAGGCGGAGTGCTCTTTTGTGGTCATTTTGACTGGTGGGTTGGACGCATGCTCATACTTGATTCTTCCATATACAGGCATATCCATATAGTATAAATGTTTAGTATTCATAGGTTCAAAACCAAGTTGATGTGCTTGTGCCTTTTTGTAATGCGATTCTCATCAAGTCCCTCAGATAAATACAGCCATACATGTATGTCCCCATCGGTGCTTACCCACAAGTTTATTCTTGTTTCTTTTAAGAAGTCGGGTATGAAAAAAATATCAATCAATTATAACTTTACAAGAATTTAAATCCATTTGTTTCTTCCACCCTCCCAAGACAAAAGTCAAATTAGGATTGTATTTAAAAAAAATGACTGTTCTTACATCAATGTGGAATCCCAAATGCTTACCGGTACTAAAAGTGAGAAAGTAAGAAATCTGTATGTCAACTTTTCTAAAGACCTGGGCCATATTCAATTCAAAACTTAAGTACCTAAATTTAAGCTTTTTACGTAGTATTTGACTTATTTAAAATATTTAGCCAATTTTGGTATTCAATTCAAACTTTTAGCTAAGAATTTTACCCTAAATTTAAGACAGCTCCCTACCAGAATTAAGCCAAATATTGGAGGCCTCGATTGGCAGGCACATGGTTTTCTTACGCAGTATTATAACTTGCGCATAATTATATTAGTGCGCATTTATTGCGACGCGTTAATTGCGCATTACTTTTGATTGACCGTGTGATGTCACAATGCTTATCAGTAAGTATTTTATTTAGATTGTGTCTCAGGTAAGTAAAAGTCTAAAATGCGATTTGAATACGAGATAAGTAAACTTCTTAGCTGAGCCATTTACTTAGTCAATTTCTAACTTATTCTAAGTAAGTATTGAATTGAATACCCATCCTGCTGTATACTGTATAGAAGTTCCAATACTTGATTAAAACATTTGATTTGCATTATTAGATACCACTGCACCCACCATCACCTGTCCAGATGATGTCTCTGGCACTCTGGCTGCTGAACAATCAAGCGTGACCCTAGCATGGGTAGAACCTTCAGCCACAGACCTCTCTGGCGATGTGACGGTCACCGCTTCACATTCTTCTGGAGATTATAGCATTGGTCAAGTCAATGTGACGGCCAGTGCAACAGATTCGTCTGGGAACCAAGCAAGTTGTTTCTTTCTTGTGACTGTCACAGGTAAATGGAGACCTTTGTGGCCGCATTTAGGTTCAGATGTGAGGCCCATTCAGACGTTGGGCAATAAACTGCTGAGAAAATTACCATGAAAAAAAAAAAGAAGAGATATTTCTATATTTTCTATATTTTCTATATTCTATGCTCTACATTTCTATATTTTGAAACACAGTGATCAAAGAGTGGACATCGTTTTAGTCAAAAGCAATAGAAATGTATGTACTATGGGTATTGCTATCTGGACAGGGGTATGCTTTACCCTGACAATATTGCCTCTTGACATTCGTTCACATGCAGAGTTTTGATGTCGCATTTTTAGGTTACTTTCTCCATGTGTGAACAAGGTTTTAGTCTGCTTCTAGAGAAAGGAATTCTCAAAGAACTAAGTCAAGTGAATAAAAGGAAACTAGAGTTGTAAAAGAATGTTGGGATAAACAAAATAGTGTTGAAGGTGACATAGTTAATCATCTCTGAATGAGAAAAAACAGCAGCCCTTTATAAGGACTACTATGCTTATTATTACTGTGAGGCTGTGCATTTCCTTAATGTTTGGAAGAAATTAATATATTCAATCCCAAAATGCTGTACATTCTATTCCCCTCCCTGTTAGATATGCAAGATCCCATGATCAGCAGTTGTCCACCTTCCCAATCAGTCAATACCGATAACGGATTAGCCACTGCAGTGGTCAGTTGGACACCACCTACGGCCTGGGATAACTCTGGTTCTGTGTCGCTGACCTCTCACTACAGCTCTGGGGATCCCTTCCCTATTGGAAGCACTCAGGTGACTTACACTGCCACTGATGGCTCAGGCAATTCAGTCATGACGTGTACCTTTGATATAGCAGTGCATGGTGAGTTCTTTATGCTTTATGGAATTTCATAATGCAGAGTTGAAATCATGGAAGACTACGCTATCTATGCAAAGTTATAACTGCAGGCTAGTGATCATACTTTTCACTTTCTTGTCCCTGCTTGTACACATACTTCTGACTTTCTGACTTTCATGGATCATGTGATCCAAGTATTGTAAGATGGAGTGGAAAAGGCACCAGGTTTTATAGGAACTGATATTGGTAAACTGTTTCAACATAACTTGGTTTCCATTTCCAAGGAATGATGCAGACCCTTATTATATTTATTTTTATGACAAAAAGTGTTTTGGACAATTCATGTCAATAACTCTTCAAAATATTGTCCATATTCCTTCCAATGTCCCCATTCCCACTGTTATACATTACTTTATAAAGTCAAATTGTGTTAAACATTGAAGACCTAGATTGTTTGTACGTAATATATAGTTAATATATGACATTTGGATTCTTTTTGCGGCTGGGGATGATAGTAGCCCCGAGATCACCTCGGCGATGATAGTTTGCACCATTACCCTCGTAGTCGATTAATATTTGCTTACTATGTATTACCATGGAAAAACTATCTGGTTATATATTTTAGTAACTAGGCCAAAGGTTAGATAGGTCAACTTTTGTATTTCCACCTATCGGCCTTGGTATCGCGATATCTCAAGAACCATTAGCGATATAATGCTCAAACTTGTTGATAGTATACAAATATACACTGTCTTGAGAGGTTCTGGTTAAAACTACGCACAAGAGGTGACTCCAATACTGTTTTCACACTGGCAATATTTTGCTTAACCCCGTACTATAGGTGGGGTTAAGGGGGGGGGGGGGTCTTAGCCCCACCTATAGTACGGGGTTAAGCCTATTCCACTTTCTGTTCAGACTGGCTTTTACCAAAGTGGGCTAAAGTTGGCTAACCCCACCTATAGTACGGGGTTAACTAACCCTGCAAAATAGCAGGGCTAACTCCGCAATTTTGGTGCTAACTCCTGCTAACCCCGCAATTGCGGTGCCAAGCAAATGAATGAGAACAGAAACGAAAAATAGTCCGGTACTACGCAATGGAGCGTATCACAGCTGGCAAGATGCAAAGTATGTCCAATCATAACATTCACGATATCCGGGGTTAACGAATTGCAGTGAGAACAGCGTGAATTTTCTTATTCCGGAATAGGCGCTAGTACGGGACTAAAAGCCAAAAAAAATAGTCCGGGGTTAAGGATAGTTTGGGGCTAAGCAAAGTATGGAGTTAAGCAAAACCAGTGTGAAAAGAGTACAATAGTACTATTTGCTGAGGGGCGCAGCAAAGAAGCAAATGGTACTTTTGGAGTCACCGAGGCCCATAGTTTTAACCAGTACCTCGAATAGAAGGCATGGTAGAAGACACAGGCTCACTTGTCTTGATAGAAATGCAACATATTCTATGTCTTATTTAATCTTTCTCACAGATAATGAGAAGCCAGTCATAAGTGGATGCCCAAGTGATCAGAATGTCACCACAGACTTTGGGAATGCTACAGCTGTAGTAACCTGGACACCACCTACAGCAACAGATAACTCTGGTTACCACACACTGACATCCACTGACAATCCTGGAGACTACTTTCCAATTGGAAACAACACAGTAACCTACTATGCAAGCGATGATGCAGGAAATACAGAAACATGCACCTTCTTTGTAGTTGTGTCTGGTAAGTGTTCATGTAAAAACGAAACCAAGTGTTCATCTTTTTTGGCCTTCGTATCGCGATATCTCAAGAACCACTTGAGATTTAAAGGTGAATTTGGAAGAAAGTGATGAAAATATGCATGTTTGCTATTGTTGGAATGCTTATGACATAAGGAATTCAAATATATTGATTGACAGAAATTTGCATGTGTTGTTAAATTATTATTAGACTTAGAAAGATAAATAGTGTAAGCTGCCTTAATTCTCACTGGCAGCCGACGATGTACCTCGAGCTAGCTCCAGCCTATGTACTGGCAGATTAAGCTGTACTTGTGTCAATTTTGCTTGTATAATATTGTCAGGTTAAATATAATTAAATGTAGGCTTTTACATATAATTATAGCTTGCCTGTGAGTACGTTTCAAAATACCTCATACATGAATCTAGCTATTATATTTTCAAGTGCTATGTCTTGTCTGTCTTGTCAGATTTTTAGAGTTTTTACATTTGATATTACAGTAGTTCCTCATACTTGTATTGTATTGTATTTTTATTTTTATAAAGGGTTTGTCCAAGTTGTCCAAGAAAATCAGTCTATATTGTTGTTCTTTGAGCAATAGCACCCATATGACAATGCAATTTTTTGTCAATATCATGGTTTGGGGGAGAATATGCTTTTAAATACACAAAGACTATGTAGACATTGCTATTCTTACACAAGCACAACTGCATGTTTTCATTCTGTAAGGCATATTTGAGCTTGCTGCCTCTTGTGTGAAGAAACCCTATTGAACAATGTGTGCATGTATTTTGTCCAGATTTGGAAAATCCAGTGGTTTTGTGCCCAGCTGACATCACAAGTGAACTGGTAGCAGACCCAGTCACATGGGATGCCACAGCTACTGATAACTCAGAGATGATTGCTAATCTCACCAGCAGTCCCTCTACATCAGATGTCGTCCTTGGGACAAACACAGTGACTGTGATAGCCATGGATCCTTCAGGCAACAAGGCGGAGTGCTCATTTGTGGTCATTTTGACTGGTGGGTTGGATGCATGCTCATACTTGATTTTTCCATATACAGGCATATCCGTATAGTATAAATGTTTATTCATAGGTTCAAAACCAAGTTGATGTGCTTGTGCCCTTTTGTAATGTAATTCTCATCAAGTCCCTCAGATAAATACAGCCATACATGTATGTCCCCATCGGTGCTTACCCACAAGTTTATTCTTGCTTTTTTTAGAAGTCAGGTATGAAAAAATTATCAATCAATTATAACTTTACAAGAATTTAAATCCATTTGTTTCTTCCACCCTCCCAAGACAAAAGTCAAATTAGAATTGTTTTAAAAAAAATGGCTGTTCTTACATCAATGAGGAATCCAAAATGCTTACCGGTACTAAAAGTGAGAAAGTAAGAAATCTGTATGTCAACTTTTCTAAAGACCTGGGCCATATTCAATTCAAAACTTAAAGATAAACTTGAGTTCTGGTAAAAAAAGAAAATGAAATCTCACAGAATCTAACGAAACTTACACTGAATGTTCAAGATTACAAATAAATGTCATGTGCCAAACAATTTTGGAAGAAAATGTATACTGGCTGAGTAATGAGCATAGAAAGATAAGGAAATCAGGGTAGTACCAGCCCCGCGACACCATGTGTGTTGTCCCATATACAGCTTTCTATGTAAGTGATTGTTACTTTACCAAGACTCTGCCAAATTTATGATGATTTTGATGACTCCAGAACCTTGCATTACACACCATTACTTACATGCTACATGTATATGATCAACTTTTCTGATCCATTCCACACCTTTTCTTTCACAATGCAATCGCATTACCAGAACTCAAGTTTATCTTTAAGTACCCAAATTTAAGCTTTTTACGTAGTATTTGACTTATTTAAAATACTAAGCAAATTTTGGTATTCAATTCAAACTTTTAGCTAAGAATTTTACCCTAAATTTAAGACAGCTCCATACCAGAATTAAGCCAAATATTTGGAGGACCTTGATTGGCAGGCATATGGTTTTCTTATGCAGTATTATAACTTGCGCATAATTATATTAGCGCGCATTTATTGCGAAGCGTTAATTGCGCATTACTTTTGATTGACCGTGTGATGTCACAATGCTTATCAGTAAGTATTTTATTTAGATTGTGTCTCAGGTAAGTAAAAGTCTAAAATGCGATTTGAATACGAGATTAGTAAACTTCTTAGCTTAGCCATTTACTTAGTCAATTTCTAACTTATTCTAAGTATGAATTGAATACCCATCCTGCTGTATACTGTATAGAAGTTCCAATACTTGATTAAAACATTTGATTTGCATTATTAGATACCACTGCACCCACCATCACCTGTCCAGATGATGTCTCTGGCACTCTGGCTGCTGGACAATCAAGCGTGACCCTAGCATGGGTAGAACCTTCAGCCACAGACCTCTCTGGCGATGTGACGGTCACCGCTTCACATTCTCCTGGAGATTATAGCATTGGTCAAGTCAATGTGACGGCCAGTGCGACAGATTCGTCTGGGAACCAAGCAAGTTGTTTCTTTCTTGTGACTGTCACAGGTAAATGGAGACCTTTGTGGCCGCATTTAGGTTCAGATGTGAGGCCCATTCAGACGTTGGGCAATAAACTGCTGAGAAAATTACCATGAAAAAAAACAGAAGAGATATTTCTATATTTTCTATATTTTCTATATTTTCTATATTCTATGCTCTACATTTCTATATTTTGAAACACAGTGATCAAAGAGTGGACATCGTTTTAGTCAAAAGCAATAGAAATGTATGTACTATGGGTATTGCTATCTGGACAGGGGTATGCTTTACCCCTGACAATATTGCCTCTTGCCATTCATTCACATGCAGAGTTTTGATGTAGCATTTTTAGGTTACTTTCTCCATGTGTGAACAAGGTTTTAGTCTGCTTCTAGAGAAAGGAATTCTCAAAGAACTAAGTCAAGTGATTAAAAGGAAACTAGAGTTGTAAAAGAATGTTGGGATAAACAAAATAGTGTTGAAGGTGACATAGTTAATCATCTCTGAATGAGAAAAAACAGCAGCCCTTTATAAGGACTACTATGCTTATTATCACCGTGAGGCTGTGCATTTCCTTAATGTTTGGAAGAAATTAACATATTCACCCCCAAAATGCTGTACATTCTATTCCCCTCCCTGTCAGATATGCAAGATCCCATGATCAGCAGTTGTCCACCTTCCCAATCAGTCAATACCGATAATGGATTAGCCACTGCAGTGGTCAGTTGGACACCACCTACGGCCTCGGATAACTCTGGTTCTGTGTCGCTGACCTCTGACTACAGCTCTGGGGCTCCCTTCCCTATTGGAAGCACTCGGGTGACTTACACTGCCACTGATGGCTCAGGCAATTCAGTCATGACGTGTACCTTTGATATAGCAGTGCATGGTGAGTTCTTTATGCTTTATGGAATTTCATAATGCAGAGTTGAAATCATGGAAGACTACGCTTTGCAAAGTTATAACTGCAGGCTAGTGATCATACTTTTCACTTTCTTGTCCCTGCTTGTACACATACTTCTGACTTTCTGACTTTCATGGATCATGTGATCCAAGTATTGTAAGATGGAGTGGAAAAGGCACCAGGTTTTATAGGAACTGATATTTGACTTATTTAAAATACTTAGCCAATTTTGGTATTCAATTCAAACTTTTAACTAAGAATTTTACCCTAAATTTAAGACAGTTCCCTACCAGAATTCAGCCAAATATTTGGAGGCCTTGATTGGCAGGCATATGGTTTTCATACGCAGTATTATAACTTGCGTATAATTATATTAGCGCGCATTTATTGCGACGTGTTAATTGCGCATTACTTTTGATTGACCGTGTGATGTCACAATGCTTATCAGTAAGTATTTTATTTAGATTGTGTCTCAGGTAAGTAAAAGTCTAAAATGCGATTTCATCATCATCATCATCATCGTTTAGAGTCCATTTGTCCCACTTTGTGGGGTTGGACATTTCATTTCTTTAATGGCCGCCTTCCAAGCTTTCCTGTCTGAGGGATCCACACGGCAGACACCCGATGTTTTGGCATCCTCTTCGATGGCTTCCCTCCAGGTTTTCCTGGGTCTCCCACGAGGTCTTCTTCCGGTGACCGGGAAGTTTAGAGCCCTCTGGAGCCAGTGTGTTGCCTCTCTCCTTGCCACATGTCCAAACCATCTAAGTCTATTCATCCTCATAACCTGTGCCACCCCCATCAATCCCATTGATTGAAGGAGGACTTTGTTCTTCTTTCTCTCATGAAGTGATACCCTGCGCATCCACCTCACCATCCTCATCTCAGCTTTCTCCATTCGCTGTTCACTGGATGATTTCATTGCCCATGTTTCGCTCCCATACGTCATGCATTTTCTAACACAGGCATCATACACCTTCCCTTTCACTCTTAACGGGGTCGCCCTTGAGGTGAGGAAAGGAGAGAGTTCACAAAACTTTTTCCAAGCACTTTGGATTCTTGCAGTCACAGCTGCAGTCTCTCCTCCTCTGACAGCCAACATGTCTCCCAGGTAGCAGAACTTATCCACCTTATCATATGTCGTTCCATGGAGATCCAGACCTGTCACATTGTCACTGGTACATTTCTGTGAGATTGTACCTAAGCACCTCTTACAGATGAATGTCTTACTTGCTGCTTGCAGGCTACCACGTATTCCACTGCATCTGCGATGGACCCAGCTCCTGCATTTGGTGCATCTGATTGAGTTGGCTCCAACACCTGTATAGCAAACTCCACAGGGGTACTCTCCTGTTTTCTCTGTCTCACCTGCATCAGCAGAAGACACCATGACCTTGGACTTTCCAACATTCACTTTCAGACCCTTTCCTTCTAGGGCTGCTTGCCATGAAGACATTCTAGCTATCAGTTCTTGTTCGCTCTTAGCCATCAGCACCAAATCATCTGCGTAGAGCAGTTCCCATGGAAAGCTTTGCCGGATGTCCTTTGAGATGACATCCATTAC